TTGTCTCATGGTATAGAAGTTGTTTGACCTTATTTTCGCTACTCGGTCATATTGGTAGGAAGACTTAGAGTAGCGAGTAGCGAAAACAAGGTCAAACAACTTCTATACAAAGAAAGAAGACTGCGATCACACAAAAGACCACACCATCTTGGTCTTCATGCCTTCGAAAAATTATTTGTGTTTAATTAATATAATGAAGGATAGAGAGAGAGAGCCACCTGCAAAAAGGAGGCGAATCAACTAGTATTTTCTTGCTTTGGTTCTAAAGATAGTCAATTCTCTGTACTTTTAGCTCACTTTTTCTCTCATGCAACGAGACCAAAAACAAAAAATAGGCTCATCAGCAAAACCAGGCCTGTCCGACCTTGCGCAATCGAAGTGATAGTTATTACCTAAATGTAGAAAAGGAGGAGATAGGGGTCATCAAACCTTGATGACCAAAAACAGACGTTCCTTTTTGCTGTCCTAATTACTCTGAGCCATCACTTCGAGTTTCGTGCATAAGCGAACACAAACAGGCAGATGCAAACACAAAGACAGACGCACTCATATTTATCGAAGTTGGCATATGACCTTAACAAACCAAATCACTTTATACTTGATCAGAGGCCAGATGTAGAGTATATATACCACTTTTTAGGGATTTTCCGGTGAATTTTCTTGACTCGTTAGCTTGAATTCGATTGTGACGATGTTACTTCGCTCTGATGATATCCTTAGTGCTGACTTGAGGCTTTTGCGAAAATAAGTTCTAGCTCTGACGATATTCGTCACATGACAAACAAAGGCTCAGCTCGTCTTCGCCCGAGGCTTTGGAGGGTGTCTCGACTGCATCAACCTGAACGTCGTATTAACGCCAAATGACTACAGTACAACACGAATCAGCTGAAGTCTTCTAGTGAGAGTGACCTACGAATTTTTCAATCATGCACTTTTATAGACAATAAAGGTCTTAATTATAATCTTATCTCAAAAGATTCTTCACCGTCCTGCGATCCCAATAAAACTATGCTAAGCTTTAGTCTGTACTTTGACAGACACCATCAGAACAATATTCCATACTTTACGAAATTGAGCAAAAATATACTAAAGCAAGAGTAAAAGGTGCCCGACTGCAACCCTAGTTGTTTTTTTTATACACCTATCACCGCGATCTTCATATTTTCCTATATCATTATTCGGTGGGATTGTCGATGCAGCAAAGTTATATTTAAGGTTGGAATGTTAGGGTGACTAGTAGGAATATGAGAATAACGGATGGAAATTATGTAACTAAAGTCAGAACGGCTGAAATATTAAGTCCAAAAAAATAATTATCTTATGAACACACTCAAGTGTAGGTACTATGACCAATATGGAAAGGAATTAACTAAGCCACTGTCTTTCTGTATACAACTCGCTATTTTAAGTTGAGTATATATATGACGTAAGACCCCTGATACAGTTACAACTTACCGAAGTGGCAAGTGAAAACAACACCCAGCTTCCATTGATGTACTCCTTCCTCTTAACCTCACTTCGTGTCAGCTATTTACCTATACATAACATCCTGTGTTCTCGTTCTCTCCAATTTCACCCAAGATTATGTCGCTTCGAATGGATTTCGTCAAGTATAATCATTGGCACATTCATCACCCTAGAGGGGGCTAAGTGAAGGCCAGTTAGAATCAAAATACTTTAAAAAAGGAAAGTAAATAAGGGGACAGCTAACGCACCTGAAAGCCGTCTGTTTCAGCTGTGGATGGAGTCCGATGCCATTCAACTAAGTGATTATCTGGTCCATATAATTCTCTATCAAGCTCGATGACGAGAGATTTGAAAAAAGAAGAGAATTTCCGCCGAAACTTCAGATCATTATTGCTTGGATGACCAGGCTGAAAAAATAGGATAAAAAGAAGTAAATAATGCCGAATTGGTACTTATCGACGAGATAAAAAAGAGTATCAATTAGATAAGGGGCAAAAACATGGAGTTTACACGATGTGAGCAGACTGAACCACTCTATGATACAGCCAGAATTGAACATCATCATGCCGTAGTTGCACATATATTTACAATGTGTAAATATGATACGTACTTTATCTAAAAGCTGGCCTTCGACTTTAAGCTCCCAACCAGGAACGGATTCCGGCTGAATTATCTGGCCATCAGACCTAATAGAAGGTGGAGTTCCGGGTTTGAAAATACTGCTAAGCATGATTCGAAGTTTACGTTTCGTCTTAAACGGCTTTTTCATTGCCTCCTGTAAAGTAAGCCGTTTATGCATCAGTACTAAGTCGAGTTTTTTTTCGACCTCCAGTAGCTCCATATAAGACTCAGATTCTGGGATTATTTGTCTCACGGTCTTAGTCAAAAGACGATCAGCTAGACGGCGCTTTCTTTTGCTATAGTGAAGAAGCGAAGATAGAAAATTAAAAATGAATTTATTATTTGTTTGAGGTGTTAAGATATTTAAAATACTATGACAAATCTACTTATGA